CTACCGAAGAGGCATATGGGTAGCTCATCCCTTGACATTACTTTCCTCTTTGGCCTGCAAGTAGCTTTACTGTGCATATGTGGTCAGGGAGGTTTTAGGACTTCAGGAATAAGAGACTTGTGGTCTGGGCAGGGCCCAGCCTCCTCCCTTAATTGTCCTGTTATTCTTGTCTTGGAGTCTAGGTCAATAGAGAATGAATCTCCAGTTGCTTTATGGTGGGAGGTGGGGATCATGGGTTGGCATCTACCTCATGCTTCACTATCAGTTAGGGATACATGGAAGGTTTCTGCTTTTTCATTTCCAGGATCTTTATGTTAAATTTCTGGCTAATCTGCTGGTCAGATGATCACCCCAACTAGGACCACAGTCTCAGAGTAGCAGAGCTACTGGTTTTCCTGATGCACTTCCTACCAAGATCACTACTTTTGTTAAATCTCTCTAGACAGGATACTCACCCTCTGTGATGGCCCACACTTTGTGGAGTGTGTTTCTCTCTGAATAAATCCACTTCTTGCCTATCTAAAAAAAAAAAAAAAAAACCTCTGGACATGAGTTTTTTAACCCTTTGCTCCAAATCAAGTTAGTCTTTCTGGCAGTGAACCTGCTGGTTTTCATTGCCAGCATTATCCTGCTAGAACTATTACTTAACTGAATGGAGATGGGACCAACCCTAGGCAAGAATGCCTCACATTGCCACTATTCTTACACAAAGGTCAACAGTTTTTCAATTTATTGTTTGCTTTTGGTCGATTTTCAGAGCCTATATTAGGTTTAAGTGAAAGTCACTCAGTCATGTCCAGTTCTCGAGGCCAGAATACTGGAGTGGGTAGCCTTTCTTTTCTCCAGGGGTTCTTCCCAACCCAGGGTTCAAACCAGAGTTGATGGATTCTTTACCAGCTGAGCCACAAGAGAAGCCCAAGAATACTGGAATGGGTAGCCTATCTCTTCTCCAGGGAATCTTCCCAATCCAGGAATCGAACCAGAGTCTCCTGCATTGTAATGGCAGATTCTTTACCAACTGAGCTATCAGGGAAGCGTAATAGGTGTAAACACATACATTAAAAAAGAAGAAAGATCTCAAATCACTAACCTAACCTTCCATTTTAAGGAACTAGAAAAATGAGAGGACACTAAACCAAAGCAAGAAGAAGGAAGGAAATAATAAACATTAGAGCAGAAATAAATGAGGTAGAAAATAGAAAAACAATAGAATCAGCAAAACCAGAAGTTGGTTCTCTGAAAAGGTCAACAAAATTGACAGACCTTTAGGTAGACTGACTATATTTCTCTCCTACCGCTGCCGTAACAAATTATCACAAATATGGTGGCTTAAAACAACAAAAATTTATTTCTCTCACAACTCTGGAAGCCAGAAGCCTAAAATCAAGCTGTCAACAGGATTGGTTCTTTGTGGAGGTTCTGAGGGGAGAGAATCCATACCATACCTCTGCAAGTTTCTTGTGGTTGCTGGAAGTTCCTAGCAGCCCTTGGCATGTAGACTGGCATCACTGTGCTTCTGTTTTCACCTCACTTTCCCATGTCTATTTCTCTACTATCTCGTGTAAAAGAACGGATGGAGTCTTAATTACATGGGTAAAACCCCTTTTTCCAAATAAGATCGGTTTCATAGGTTTGAGGAGTTAAGACATGGGTATATCTTTTCTTTTTTTTTTTTCGACCACACAGAGCTTACAGGATTTTAGTTGCTCAACCAGGGATTGAACCGCCATGCTTGACAGTGAAAACACAGATTCCTACCCACTGAAGCTCCAGGGAAGTTGTAAGACATGGATATATCTATTATGGGCCACCATTCAATCCTCTACACTGATAGCTCCCCTCATCCCACCCCCCCCTCAAAAAAAAGGTTTAAATTACTAAAATCAGGAATGAAAGTGTGATATTACTACCAATCTTACAGAAATCAGGCTTATAAGAGAATACTATAAACAGATACCAATAAATAACCTAGACAGAATGGACAAATTCCTAAAAACACAAACTCAAAACTAACTGAAGAAGAATTAGACAAATCTAAACAATTTTATAATAAATAAAGTGATTGAATCATAGTAAAAAAAATTCCACTGTAGAAAAATGTAGTACCAGATGGCTTCATAGGTGAATTCTCCCACATATTTGAAGAATTAACAAATTCTTCCAAAAAAACGGAGGGAGAACTTCCTAACTCGTTCTATGAGGGGAACATTATCCTGATACCTTCTAATTTTTTCTATGCATATATTGTATATACATGATTCAAAATCAGTATCATTTTGTTTTCACAAGTACTTTTTTCATATAAAATACATTTTGAAATATTCTTGCCTTTAAATATTACTTGAAAATGTGATTTTAATGGCTGCATAGTATTTTATTATATTAACATGCCATAGATTTTCATGTCCCTTTTTGTCCCACTTATATAAATCTGTAGTGAAGTTTTTCTATTTATTTTATTTTTTTGAGGATTTTTTAATACTAATTTTTGTATACCTCTTTGATAACTTCCTTAAGACAGCCTTTAAGAAATGTGTTCCCTGGTCAAAAACAAAGATTTGTTAATATTTTCTGTATAGACTCATTACATTCCACAAAGATTATATCAATTTATACTCTGAAAAGCAGTGTACAAAAGCACCTATTCCTGATGTTATCAAAGCTGTGTTTTAAAATTAAATAAATATACCTATAAGAGCAACAGTTTGGATGAATGTAATACTCTTAATTTAATATTATTTTAATTTTTTATTCATGGTAAATTGCACATTTTTATTTTGTGCTATTTAAACAATTCTTCAGAACCGTCAAAAGTTGAAGAAAAGAATGGATCATTAAATGGATAAGATAGTTAATGCCAAAGATAGTGATGATACATTAACAGAGTTGGAGTTCATATTTTATACCAAACAGACATCTAACATATTTTTATTAAGTACTTATTTTCTCTCACATACTACTTTAGATATGGAAGATATAGTACAGTTAGCTCACATTTTCATTGCAGGGCATTCATTCATTGATAATTTAACAGATATTTACTCAGGGCCCCCTATGTGCCTTTTATTGGAGATACAATATTTAACAAGATCCAGATGGCCTGTGACCCCTTAAAGGAGAATAAAAATATCAAAATAGTCTTATTCATTGACTACTTATTATTTTCCACACATTATATTGATACTAACTTCATTACATACATTATTTTCTTTGATATTAAACTAATATTTGGAAACTGCATTTTGGAGACTTGCATGTGTCTGATCAAACCCATTCATATCAAATAAAATACTAACTTGCTTTTTATTTATTAAAGTATCAAATTTATTTCAATATCTAGTTTCATTTTTAAATTAAAGCTATTGGATAATTTTTTGCAATTTAAAATTCATTATTAGTGGTGAGGAAAACATTAATAAGCTATTAATTATTGAAAACAAATTATGAATGATGCTAAGAAGCCATGTTAAAGAGTAAAAAGTTCCAATTATACTATTTGACTGAAGGAAATATCCATTACCTCTTTATTTCTAACATTCTCATTTTGACATAATTTACACCTTTTTCACACAATTAATACAATGCAAACAAAATTTTTCCAAATGTTAAGACTTTCTTTACCATTTATGACACATGACATAACTGTAACTCTTTAAAAGTTCCTTAAAAGAAAGTTGAAATTTTAATTTTTATACTAACCTCATTACCTCAGACCGTGAACCTGTCTGACCAAAAAGTAAAGGACATCACCACCACATGAATTAAAACAAAGAATAGAATAAAAAGCAAAAGTGGTATCTATATAATCAGCAAATTATCTGATAAGACATGTTAACTACTTCACATTTCTACTTAGCACAAGTGAGAATAAACTGGTTCCAAGGTACTACTAAATTAAAGCTATTGGACAATTTTTTGCAATTTAAAATTCATTATTAGAGGTGAGGAAAACATTAATAAGCTATTAATTATTGAAAACAAAATTATCAACCATGCATTTAAAAAAGCCATGTTAAAGAGGAAAAAGTTCCAACTATACTATTTAACTGAAGGAAATATCCTTTACCTCTTTATTTTGAACATTCTCATTTTGACATAATTTACACCTTTTTCACACAGTCAATACAATGCAAACAAAATTTTTCCAAATGTTAAGACTTTTGTTACCCTTTATGACACATGACATAACTGTAACTCTTTAAAAGTTCCTTAAAAGAAAGTTGAAATTTTAATTTTCACCATGAACCTGTCTGATCAAAAAGTAAAGGACATCACCACCACATGAATTAAAACAAAGAATAGAATAAAAAACAAAAGTGGTATCTATATAATCAGCAAATTATCTGATAAGACATGTTAACTACTTCACATTTCTACTTAGCACAAGTGAGAATAAACTGGTTCCAAGGTACTACAGGTTTGGCATTTTTGCTCTTAAGCTTTAAATCATAGTGTTACTCTACTCAAGTCATCTCTAAGAAAATGGCAGTGTTCATAAGTAGAAAAATGATTATATCCAGTAGGTGGTATTCTACATAATCAAGATAACAAGAAAATTCTTTATAAAATTAGATTTTTTAAAATGCAGAGTATCTGATAATTACCAGTATCTCAAAAGCTAAAGTAAGAAAAATACAGAAAATAGAGAAGTACTCATTGAATAATATTATTTTGCTTTGAGGAAACCAGAAATGATTCTATTCCAAGAAATAATAACGATAAGAGATGTAATTAATACACCATGTATCTTTTAAGCCAAACCACGCTTTTCTGCTCAGAACAACTCTTGATTTTTACATTCTTAATCTCCTCTGTCCAGAAGAGGACCACATCTTAAGCCATTATTTGAATTGAGTTCATAATCTAAAGTCACTTTTCTTCACAGGATGTTTTCATTTTAGTATTCATACATAAGCTGCAAAAAGGCAAATGAAAGTCAGTTAAAAGAATCTGTAGCATAATAAATGCCCATTTACAATAACTGTCAACAGACTTCTATACCGAAGCTGAAAAGCCTTCTACAGTACAGGTGAGAAGTGACATGATTCTTCCATAGACTCAGACTTCGTTTAGTAATACTGTCATAAGATCCAAAAAGAAACCTTAACGGGTCCTTTCAAAGATGCATAATTTTCCGAACAATTTTCCTCTGGACACACAGCCTGTTCATTCCGTCAATCCTTTTTTAGTCGTTTAGCTTTTGCAATATTTTCTTGACGTTTTTGTTTCTTCTTTTGCTCCTTTTCCCTGGCCTCAATCATCTTGGCCAGTTTCCAAGACAGCACAGCGCTTGCTAGGACAATGGAGTCAGAGCCAGAAGCACTCGTAAGGAAGCCGTGTGGGTCCTTTGCAGCCCACTCCACGACATACTCAGCCCAGGCCTTTAGGTCAAACATCTTCCTGGAGGCCTTATGCTTGAGTAGTGATCTCTAATTTTGTCCTGGGATTATCAGCCAGTCACAATTTCAGATGACCTTTGGTTAGCTGTCTTCTTCTTTAACTCTACCAATACACTTCTGAGAGAAGGCTTAAATTCTATACACTCCCGTGCACCTCAATTTCGGACCCTAGGTGCAAGCGCCCTCCACACTTTAAGGAATAAATATTATTCTTCTTCCTTCCGAAAAGGATCCACCAGGCATGCTCTTCGGATCAGACCCGCACGGCGCCTGAAGGTGAGGGCACCTCACAGCCACCCGCACTGTCCTTTCCTGTGTTTTCGCCTCGCTCACCCTTCCTCACCCTACCCGGTGGCCCGCCGCTGGGGCCACGCTTCCCCGACCCTCCGCCTCGGCGAGCGCTGGCCCGGCGGGGCTCGAATAGCCGGCGGGCCCCGGGAATCAGAGGCCATCCCCGCCACACCCTGGGCCGCCGGAGCGTGGCCACCTCCGCTGAGCCCCGGGGCAAAACCGCAGCACCGACGGCCACCCACCTCCCCTCGTGTCTCTGCTTTTTAATATGCTGTCTAGGTTGGTCATAACTTTCCTTCCAAGGAGTAAGCATCTTTTAATTTCATGGCTGCAATCACCATCTTTTTTTTCTTAAATTTATTTATTTATTTATTTATTTATTTTTTATTCCTTCAGTCCTTTTTTAGTTGTTTAGCTTTTGCAATATTTTCTTGACGTTTTTGTTTCTTCTTTTGCTCCTTTTCCCTGGCCTCAATCATCTTGGCCAGTTTCCAAGACAGCACAGCACTTGCTAGAAACAATGGAGTCAGAGCCAGAATAACTGTCATAAGGAAGCTGTGTGGGTCCTTTGCAGCCCACTCCACAACATACTCAGCCGAGGCCTTTAAGTCAGACATCTTCGTGGAGGCCTTATGCTTGAGTAGTGATCTCTAATTTTGTCCTGGGATTATCAGCCAGTCACAATTTCAGATGACCTTTGGTTGGCTGTCTTCTTCTTTAACTCTACCAATACACTTCTGAGAGAAGGCTTAAATTCTATATACTCCCGTGCACCTCAATTTCGGACCCCAGGTGCAAGCGCCCTCCACACTTTAAAGAATAAATATTATTCTTCTTCCTTCCGAAAAGGATCCACCAGGCATGATCTTCGGATCAGACCCGCACTGTGCCTGAAGGTGAGGGCATCTCATAGCCACCCACACTTTCCTTTCCCTCCGCCTAGGCGAGCGCGGGCCCAGCGGGGCTCGAACAGCTGGCATTCCCCGGGAATCGGAGGTCATCCCCGCCACACCCTGGGTCATCCCCGCCACATCCTGGGCCGCTGGCGCCGTGGCCACATCCGCTGAGCACCCCAGGGCAAAACCGCGACACCGATCGCCACCTGCCTCCCCTACATCTCGCAGGGGACGACGGGTTCGGACCCCGACTCCCGACTCACCTCCTAACTTGCTTTTTAAGAGGCCTTTCAGTATTAAAGGTGTGGTGTTTTTGTGATAAGCATAGAATGAACACACACACACACATATACACACAAAGTCTCATTCCATTTAAATGTAACACTTTCAGTCTTCAGGCTATTGGTAGTTATGAGTTTAGAAGGCTAAGGATGCTGATTCCCACTTAGGGCTAAAATTTATTTGTCCTTCTTCTATGAAATTAGAGCTAAGAATAATAATAAATGCCTTTTTAGTTTGGCTTTGAGCGCACCTTCTGCATACAGTCTATTAGCACTCTTGCATAAAACTCTCATGGCTCTTGCCAGAGGGGACTGAATAAGCAGTCAGATGTTGTTGAAGAAGCTCCTGAACTTTACTTGATTACAGGAAGATTCACTCACCATCTTCATAGATTTCCTATAAACCAGATAGTTTTCTCTAAGAGATCAAAATCTAACAGAGAAACTGGAATGTTTTTACCAAATTGACAGCATTTAAAATCAGAATAAACCTCTATATCTCTTTAAAGAAATCTGATATAATTATAGGTACCATGGAAATTTGGAATAAAAAAATAGAAACTTAATTTTTATCTGATAATTTTAAATCCATTACTTAAAAATATATTTAAGGCACAGTCTGTTAGACCTGCAGTCTTACTTACTGGGTACAAACATGCTTAGTTGTAACTTTTAGAAGCAGAATTATTGTTATTGCTGAAAAATGGATCCTGTCTTTCTTGACCTTCCTTCTTTCTTTTCTGAATGTCCTGAGCTAATGCTTTTTCTGTGTTCGATTACTGCTGAGCACAGCAGAGCTTGTTGCTGGAACTGACTTCAGTATGGACATGTGAATGTTTATAATAAGAAAAGCCAAATTCTTTTCCATGGACTCTATACTTGAAAGCTTTGATACACTGCGTAATGATATGTCCCCACCACCCACTGCCCCCCACTGTATACTTGACTACTCTATTAAAATATGAAAACATTTTGCTTTACATGTTTAGCTCAGAGCCCACTTTTATTAAATGTAAGGTCCAAAATGTCTATGGTTCTTATCCTTATGTATTTTTTAGAAAACATTTGTAATCTTAAATCAGCTTTATAGTACAACTTAAAAACCATTTTAAAACCTACTGAATTGATTTATTAGGAAAACAAAAATAATCAAAATGATGTTAGTTTTAGGTAAGCATTGATAAGTACTGATTTCAGTTGCTAAGAACTGAGGCACTTTTTTTTTTATTTAAAATGTGACCAATGTAATTCTTAAGATTTTTACATGTGCTCAGGCATCATTTCCTCCAGAAAATCTTCCTTAAACCTCCACATTTGTTCCAGTGCCTCTCTACTAGAACCCTATATAATTAAATCATACTATTACATGCCTGTCTCCAGTACTTGGCCAAATTCTTCATGGTTATGTACTCAAATACACGCATATAAACACAGACTCAACCCTTAGCATCATTCTTGGCACAGTGTAGGACCTTAAGAAATACTTTTTTTTGAACTGAACTGTTGAATGATTATTTTTAAACTTTTTTTTATTGGAGTGTAGTTGATCAACCGTATTGTGTTAGTTTCTGGTGTACAGCAAAGTGATTCAGTTATACATATACATATATCTATTCTTTTAAAAATTCTTTGCCCATTTAGATTATTAACATGATATTGAGCAGAGTTCTCCTTTGCTATAGAATTAAGTCCTTGTATCATAGTACAAATTACATAGAAAATTCAGGTGCAAAGAAATGTAGCTATCATATGTTAATGTACCATATATCTAAGATCATTCTTGTCAGAGGCTATCTTTGAGCTATAAAAAATCAGACCCCATTCAGTACAACCACTCGTTGTAGTTCAGAAGAGCACTCAACTATTTCCTTTCCACTAATGGTTCTGTATATCCAACAAGTGTGTATTAACTCTTCCCTAAAATTTCAATGTGAGAAACTTTCAGATTGCCTATATCTGGAATAATGCTTCCTGAATTAAAACTTAAGCTTTATATTCTTCATGCTAAGTACTTTCTGGCATTTCAATACTTCAGTCTCAAAAGTGCACTCAAAAGATGATATTTAAATAACACAATCAAAAGATGAATGTGGGAAATTCTAGATTCCATTCTAAATTGGAATGCCAAAAATTCTTCTATTTTCAATAGTCCTATTTACTGACATGTATGTTTTTCTGGTTTATGTACCTAAAGATCTGAATTTCAGTCATGTTAATAGTTTCTCCCGGAAGCCTTTCTGTGTCCTCCTTCAGTTTTTTGTCCCTTCACATCTTCTTGCTTCCAGCCGTGAAACTACGCCCATATCATCACTTCCTTTTGGCCATCAGGACCACAGTCAAGGAAGAGCCCCATTTTACTATGGGAGTGGTACAGTTGGTAAACAAAAACCCGCTATTTAACTAAGCAGGAGGCATGCCCTATAGAGGAGTAAAAACTGAAAGAGTGATGAAATGTTTTACCTTTGAATAATTTAGGATCCTGTTTTTCATGGGCAAAAATTCCTGTAGGCAGGCTCTTAGATTATTTTGACTACATTGTTACATAAATATGTATAAAAAAGCCTAGGTTGAAAATGTATGCTTATGGCTTTTATACAAGTATAAAACCAAAACAGTTATTTAATCACAAGCAAATCTATAAAATCAGTAAAATTCAAATTGACAAAATGAATTAAATATAATAGCTGATAATGATCCGTTGACCCTAAATTGCTCCTTGAAATGTAAATTATGATATTCTCCTCAGGGTCGAGTTCTCGGTGCCTATACTACCTTATACCTACAATGACTCTGTTCTCTTTGTTAGTATATGATCCACTGATGTCATTTTATCTTCACTGTGTTTCAACTATGTCATTTATATTTTCAGTTTACAGTTTTCATTTTAAGTTCAGGATCTATTCTCATTAACCTAGGAGCACTGGAGTAAAACTGCTAGGCCCACTGTTGGTAAACATGAGCATTGGCACAGAAATCACATGGCAATACTCCAATAAAGATGATCATCTGTATAATCCTGGGTTAAATAATATCCTTTAAAATGATTTATTAAAATGAAAACAAAAAATGTATATTCTCACAGATAATTTGTGGACAGCAAAAATTATGCAATTATATCCCCAGCTTCCATTATAAGGAAATCTACTCTAGTTATTTTTGCCTGTAAGTATATATTTGAGTGACAAAATAGATTTGAGAGTGAGGTGGGGCAAAAGAGATTTCCTAAAGTGTATACTCAGGCCAGTATAGTCTTGGTGTGAGTCCCTTGAAGTATGCTGCTTTAATTTACTCACCTTTGTCACACAATTTTACTTGATTGCTAATTCTTGTGTGTTTATTAAAAATGAAGATCATTTAGCAGAAGGGTGAGATGGAAAATAATGAATGTCTGAGGGACTAAAATTCATGGATATTTAAAAGACAGTCGAGGTGATATATATTAAAGCTTTTAAATCAAGTATTTGTGGAGTGCATGAAGTTCATTGCAAAGTTTTGAGATTGCCCAGAGCACAGAGATAACACATGGTCACTAAATAAACAAATGGCAGCAGCAAAACAAATCCTAGGGGAGACGGGAATCTAATTTCTGGGTTTCCCAGGTGGCACTAGTGGTAAAGAACCTGCCTGCCTATGCAGGAGACATAAGACACGCAGGTTCAATCCCTGGGTCAGGAAGATCCCCTGGAGGAGGGCATGGCAACCCACTCATGTATCCTTCCCTGGAGAATCCCATGGACAGAGGAGCCTGGCGGACTGCAACCCATAGGGTCACTAAGAGTTGGACACAACTGAAGCAACTTAGTGCAGGACAGAATGGCCACATTATCTTTTAAATGTCCTATTCTTAACCAAAAATTAGACATATAAAGAAACAAGACGATATAACCCATTCACAGAAACAAAAGGAGCCGATAGAAACTGACCTCGAGGAAACCTATACATTGAACTTACTAGACAAAGATTTTATTTAATCACTCCTTTATGAGCAAAGATCATAAATATGATTAAAGAGCTAGATGAAACCATGTCCAAAGAAATAAAAGTATGAGAACAATGTTTTACCAAAGGGAGAATATCAACAAAGAGACAGAAATTATAAAAGGGAACCAAATAGAAATTCTGAAGTTGAGAAGTGCAGTAACTAAAACTAAAATACACTGAAGGACTTGGCAATAAAGCTGAACCAGCAAAAGTAAAAATCCGTGAACTTAAAGATCAGACAATTGAGATGATCCAGTCTGCAAAAGGAGTAGATAATTCAAGTCTGATTTAAAAAACAGTGCATAAGGCAATCATTGTAAAGTGTTGATGGGCTTATACTGTATGAAGATACATCTCTATAATAATAGCACAGAAGAGGGAGAGTAGAGCTATAAAGGGGCATAGTTTTTGTATTCTGTTGAAATTAAGCTTGCATTAATCCAAACCAGTTTGCTTAAATTAAGATGTTAACTGTAATCCTCAGGCAACCACTACAAAAATGTTGAAAAGATCTAGTAAAAGAAACAAGGGACTTAAAAGAGTAGACTATTTTACAGCCTTCGTGAGGAGATTCTATTCTTATCTCTCTATAGATGAGGAAACTGAGGCTTAGAGAGGTTATGCAGCTTA